GGCCTCAGCAAGGTCCCAGTACAGGCTATACCTTGAGCAAGAACGCAAAAAGAGGGAGAGTGCTGCTCAGACACTGAAGAGGAAGGCCGCAGAGGAAGAACTAGTGGAGCTCAGACAGCAACGCAGAGTCCTGGACGATGTCTGTGCCATCCTTGAAAATGATGCCAACAAGTTGGCCGAGGAGGCAGAGGGGAAGGCTGGGTCAAAAATGGCCCAGCTTATCACTAAATCCAACACACTCAGAAGGAGATAGAAAGAGAAAAAAGAGGAACTGGATAAAATGGACAAAACTATTGAAGAAAAGGCCATGCAATTAAGACACTTGCCATAAAATTCTTTTGCTCATGAGTTCATATTAGGCCTATAGTACAGGTTTATGTTAAAATCAAATAATTCACCAGTTTATAGTTCATATAGCAGATGCCAGTTTGTAGCAGCGAATGCCAGCCAGTGTGCTGGAACTGTTCTCTTCATTGCACATTTTTTGTAGTTTGTTTTATTTTTATTCATGAAGTGAAATAAATGTGTGCAATATGTGGTCAACATCAGTGAGTCTCTAAATCTATTCTGTTGTGTATAGTGTTATATATGTCAAAATCTGCTTCAACATTAATAAGGTCGCTGATTAACACTTGAAACTCAGTGTCGTGATGGTTTTAAAAAAAATCCGAAGGTAGTAAAAAAAGGTATTAAAAGGTATTAAATTTAACTTAAGGATTGCTGTATATACCCTGATCTTGTATGGATGACGGGGTGAATAAAGGATCTGATCATGACTTTTCATCTCTTTCTTCCTCTTCACTCGTGAGCAGACGAGCTGTGTGAGCTGAAGGTGGAGAAGCCGGCCATGTTGGCAGAAACACTGATGACCAAAGAACAGGAGTCCCTGGAGGAGACAGAGAGGGATGGAGAGAAAGGCCAGCAGGAGGGACAGAAGGAGGTGAAGGAGGAGGATGAGGAGAGAGGAGTGAAGGATGAAGAGGATGAGCTGGAGGAGCTGAGAGCGCAGGTGTTGCAGCTGCTGCTGGAGCTAGAGGAGGCCAGAGAGGTGTCACAGCACCATGAGGAGAGCTTCATGGAGCTGCAGGGTCAGTGACAGCACACAGGGTCACACAGCGACGGGTTAGAGTCTCCACTGGGAAGGTGCCTCGTGTTTTTGTGTTTCATATGTGCTGCAGTAATACCTTGCCCTTAGAAGGAGATAGAGCTAGAGACTGCTGCATTAAAATGTCTGTTGTTAATATTTCTGAGGTGTGATATTGATCTTCTTCCATCAGGAGTGATCAGATCATATTACAGTAAAGAAGATGGTCAGCACCAGAACAGAACCATATGTTGGGTAAACGCACTACGAAGATTAATATGAAATTTACCATATATTATTTTCTAACCACCAAATGACAGCAAACCTCTTTCAAAGGTTCTACACCCGTTTTGTGCTGTAGATGATTTTCTGCAGGTGTCGTACATGCCAAAGATATTACGATGTGTACCCTGTCTCCCCCAGAAATAGCAAATATGATTATTTTAATTCCGTCACTGGCAGTGCACCACACTGACACATCTATACAAATTCATGGTGTGCGCTTTGTTGAATTAGTTGTTTTGTGCTCTCAGGTCTGTTGGAGGAGGAGCGGCTGGCGAGCGCCCACCAGGCCGAGACCTTTACCAGACAGATCCAGAAGCTGCAAGGTGCTCACACGCTCTAGATGCTTTATATGGGGATTCTCCAGGTACAGTAGAAATATAGAGGTATTTACATTCACCAGAGTAGGAACAGGTGAAGACAACATGAAATCAAAACCAAAGAACGATGTCCTCGCTTCCTCACAAAGGTCCTCACTTGTGGAAGTGTTTCCACATTACATCATTTCTAGAATGTGTTTCCTTTAAGAAAATATTGCTGTAATGTAAGTTTAAAAACTTTCCACAGACATCATCACTTGGCAAATTTTCCTTTCTTTGTAAAATTTTTGATTAGATTCAGAGTACATGTGCATAGCCAATGAAATGCAGTTGGTAACCAGAAGAATGTGAAGGCCACACGGAGGAGGGGATGCCAGTGAAGAGAGAGGCTGGGAGCCAAGGTGCTTCCCTGTGGAGGGTGCAGAGCTGTGCAGTACAGCCCCTCTGTAGGGCTTAAGGGGGAATTCATGCTTTGCGCATGCCCTCGTGCGCAGATCTGTGTGAGAGTGCTGCTAGGCTACAATCTGAGAATTACATTAGATTACATTCAACTTTATTGTCATTACACATGTAGAAGTACAAGGCAACGAAATGCAGTTTAGCATCTAACCAGAAGTGCAATAACAGCATCTACAGTCTGTACAGTATGTACAGGCAGTACCAATTTACCGGTAGATACGTATGTACAATTGATATTTACAGTAGGTTAGTGATGTACAACAGACTTTATGGATTTAAATTAGAAAGCCAGGTCGCCTGAGATATGGAGTCTGATGTTCAAAAGGCCTGAAACTCCTGATGCCCTCAACAAAAGGATGGAGGCAGTGCAGGGTTGTGTGCAGGCTACCCATGATCAACAGTTCAACACAGGCGCTCACTGTCCTCAGTGTTAAAAAAGCCTCCTCTTTCTAAAATATCCTGGCTTTTCTAAATCCTCCTCCATTTGCAAAATAATTTCAAAGAAATGTCTTCACTTTTCAAAAACATACCAAAATGCCCTCAGATACAAAGATGCCCTTCTTTTTCAAAATGTCAGAAATGTCCGTTTTAGATGTATTCACTTTTATAAAAAGGTTGTTGACTGAACTAAATTGCTGTGTTGCTACTTCAGGACAAATATCGTTTCGATTGACTGATTGATTTGTGGCGTGTTTTCACATTTCTTTCCTCACTGTTTTCACAGTTGTTGTTACGTTATGTTGTGTTGTTCTAAAATGCCCTCTCTTTACAAGAACACACTCACATAAAGCGTCTTTAAGTCTTAGAAAGCACCACTGTCACGTCCAACCAGACAGGACTAATGTGCTCCTCTGCTCTGGTGCAGCCCAGCTCCGCTCAGTCCAGGAGGAGATGGACAGTCTGGAGGAGGAGAAGGAGAGTGAGCTGGAAGAGGTGCAGGAGGAGCTCCGCTCGGCTCAGGAGGAGGTGCTGGTGCTGCAGCAGGCAGCTGAGGAGGCGGCGGCGGAGAGGGAAAACGACATCGCCTCCCTGCAGGAGGAGCTGTGTCGGCTGAGGGCTGAGCTGCAGCGTCTCCACACCATGGCGCAGGAGTACGAGCTGGAGGTGACCACACTGCGAGCTGAGATCAGCATGAAGAGCCAGAGTGCTGAGACTTACACATATGAAGAACACTTAGGTTTGTGTATCAAGCTTGGTCCTCCAGTCACAGATAGTCATTGCTTCCCTGCTGAATTAAAGTTGATTTAAAGGAGTGGTTCAACATTTTGGGGCTTTATTAATCTGGGATCTGTGGATCAGGATGTGGTTAGGCATCTAGCAGATAGCCCAGCTCTGTTCACGGTTCAGACACCCACTTGCCAACACTTCACAGCTGTGAAGAAGGTTCACATGGCACTGTTACAGAAGCTTAGTGCAGGAAACTCAAAAACTGTTAACTCTTAACTGTTTCTATGGGGGAAAAACCAGAGACAGCTGCTTGCTCATGCTGGTCAGAGGTGTAGTGCGATTTGATGAAGTATGGAGCGCACCTATGGCACGCGTGCATGCTTACACTTTTCCCACGGTGGCTTGTAATTGCCCACAAGCTCAAATGTTAGACTAACTTTATTCTCTGGTGTGACAGAATAATAATGTGAATTAGTAGCTATTTGTCACAATGTGAATGTTACAGCCACAGATAATATTTCTAGGGTGTAATTTCCAGGCAGGACCAGCTAGGGGACACGTCCCCCCCAGAGTATGTAAAACAGAACCAATATCTGTTGTGACCAGTCATCAAATGCCTCCTAAATCTATAAGAAAATAGATGCTCTCCGTGGAGTCCGTGTCTGCTGCGTCGCACTATGTTTGTCTCCACGGCCGCTTCTGGAGGTCACGCTCTACTTTGTCATTCTGGACGATCTGAGTTTCCTTCTGTCACTTGTCTTTTGTAAATGTAGTCTATAGCTGACACTAAACTGTATTGCTGTGAATCGTCCACACTGACTGGGCAAAACACACGAACACTCACGGGTGCCAGTTTTTTGAGTCGATGTTGTGAATGAATTACACCTAAATTTTAATATCACAATTTAGAGCATTCCATTTTGCAGGGCATCCACTTATTGATGATATTCGGGTGCAGAGTTCTGAATTTCAACCATATTTTGCTATTTTTTCTGTCTCTTAGAGACAAAAAGTGGCGGATCGTTGTCCTGGTGCATTCCCCCGTCAGGATGTTCCCCCCAAGTGACTATGAATAGGATAAGGCTGGGTTCAGGTGCTGATGACACCATAGAGCAAGCAGGTGCTGAGCTTTTTACAGGTTTTGTTGTTGATTCATCCTTGTTCTCTTAACTGATGCATTCTTCCAGGAGACAGTTTTCTGCAGGGTGATGGCAGCTGAGCAGTTTGATGAAGGTATACAGTCAGCCGCATCTATTAGTTTGAAAAGAACTTAGTTTTACCCAGAATTCATAGCATATTAGTCCCACTCAACATAGTCAGTTACTAAACAGCTTTCTGCAACAATCATCCATTAGTTAGATCAGCTGATCCCAGTTTGTTGGACACGCTGAGACTGTGGCTCTGATGAACCGGGCAGCCCCCAGCAGCACGTCTCTTCTCACGGTGGACGTCTTTCTCGTTGTGTGTGTGTGTGTCACTTCTCTTCTGCACTGCAGTGTCTGCTGACTTCATATTCTCGGTGTAATGCCGTGTGACATCTTCTGTGTGCGCAGGTGAGATGAGCCACCTGGAGGAGGAGCTTGAGTCCCTGACAGATGAACGCCACTCTCTGGCCAACGACAACGAGGAACTGAGCAACAAAATGATGCAGCTGCAGCAGAAACGAGACATGTGAGTGGTCCAGCCAGCTGTCTGTCAATTTAGGAGGCCCCTAATGTTTCATTACAGATGGAGATTCACACTGGGCCCACCATCTGTGTCTGTCTGTCAGGGTTATACACGTGTGACATTACCTGGCTGGTATCAGACAGAAACTGTTCATGTCACAGTCACTGTCACACTCAGCATGGCAACAGGATTCACATTTAACCACACATTCGGCTGCTGATGCACATTTTCAATTTGCACATACAGCCCTGAGTGGAAAGACCAGAAATGAAAAGATCTATCACAAAAGTGTTTTTACGCTCAGCTGAGGTGAAAATGTTGGTGCATAGATAAAAGGAAGATGTGACAGAGTTAAACAGAAACGTGGATGAGAAGCAACAGCAGACTCAACCAGATGTGTGTGGAGCAGTGAGGAAGCTGTCCAGTTTCATCAGGCTGCTCACTTGGACCATTGTAATGTGAATTACAGCATCTCAAGATAAAATGGTGTTTTATCACATGAATGCCACACAATACAAGCTGAGTTTAAACTTTTAATGGATTATTTCACATTTCTTTGGGCGGCATGGTGAAGCATTGGTTAGCGCTTGTTGTGCTCTTGCCATAGCAAGAATGTTGCGAGTTCAAGTCCCGGCCGACCCGGGGCCTTTCCGTGTCTGCATGTTCTCCCTGCATCTGTGTGGGTACTCTGGCTTCCTCCCACAGTCCAAAGACATGCAACTTAGGTTGACTGGAGACTCTATATTAGACTTCATCCAGAAAAGCATCCAGCGTAAAACATGCCATGTTTAGCATGCTCATCATCAGCTGGGTGGCAAACTGATGATTCGCTGTGGCGCCCCTTAACGGGAGCAGCCAAAGTAGGAAGATTTTTTTTCTAGTATTTCTTATTTCTTTTTTTTTAAATGTGGATCACTTGGAGCCTCTTTACACAAAGGCAACACATGGCAAGTTTATTTATATAGCACATTTTCATACACAAACGCAATTCAAAGTGTTGAACACAATGCACACAGATAAAACAAAATACATACAAAATTGACACAGAGAAAAAACATTAAAATGCAATCAGAATCAGAACTCAGTAATTTACACCAGAGGTGGATGTACTTTTTTCCAGTCACCTAAACAGCATAATGAAATCAATTGGTCATTTGGTAATAGATGACAAATAAAAGTAAAAATAGAAGGTCAAGGTCAAAGTGTTTATTTGTCATATGCACAGTTAGGAAACATGTTTCCCTGTACAATGAAATTCTTACTTTGCCGTCCACATGAATGCCACACAATACAAGTGAAATATAAAGTAGATGAATAAGTAACACAAAATCTAAGGCACTTTAAGCAGCAAGTGAAAGAAGCAAATAAAATACAACAAGAACACAATATAATGCAGAGAGAATATATGCTACGTGGGAGCCACAAAGTGCAAATACTCAGCAGTGAGTGTGCAATTGTGCATGTGCAAAATGAGTATGTAAACAGTACAGATGGAATTACATGAGGTAGATTCTAAGTCAGCTGTTTAGGAGTCTGATGGGAGTTGGAAAGAAAGAGTTTTTCAGTTTAGAGGTCCTGCATTTCACACTTCTGAGCCTCTGACCGGAGGGTAGGGGTATAAACAGTCCGTGCTGGGTGTGGGTGGGGTCCTTGAGGATGGAGGCAGCTTTCCTACACACCCTGCAATGATAAATGTTCTGCAGAGAGGGCAGTGGAATCCTGGTGATCTTCTCCGCAGTCTTTACCACTCTCTGCAGGCGCTTGTGGTCCATAGCAGTAGTGCTGCCAT